GTACTTATCATTGTGATGGAGATTAGTGTTACATTAAGGTATATCTGCATTTTTCTGCATTTATTTGTGCTAAGAAGGTCCACGGAAATAAATGGTACATGCACACAAAAATTCTCCATGTTAACATGCAAACAGGTAGACTCCACACCTCCTCTACCCATATAAGAACAATTATTTATACATTTAGAACCATCCTCAGCCAGTCAGAGTTTTGTTCTCCTCTATAGATCTTCAGAGGTCATCTGGTATGCAGTGTTTTCACTACTAACTTATGGTGGTAAAATCATGGCTGACCATATGACTTGGTGAAGTCATTTAGGTAGACTTTCAACCTAGTCTATATTTGAGTTCTGATGCTGGTTGTTGAGAAATTGAATGATTTCTGCTAACAGCAAGAATTGTTTATCTTGTGATGTTGATGAACCACATGCTGTTATTTTTATCCTTTTCTTCTGCATTTCTGTTTCCTGAGGTTGCTGGCCTGCTTTGGGCCATCCTATGTCAAGCACTAGGGTGCTGATGAACTGTTGGAATGTGTTCCATTTAATCCTGACCATCTTCCACTTGCCTGGTGCATCTGGGTATTCATGAGGGTGCATTGAGGGCCTTATTTAGAACTCAGTTTCAATGACAGGAGATGGACCAGTGATCATCTCAGTAATTCAGCTTTGTCCCCCTATTCAGCAAAAATGCTAAACTTTAAAACCGCATACTGTATACTTGTCTTCAGTAGCACGTATCAAATTTGTGAAAAGCCCTCCACAGTTACACGTTCATCTACAAATGTGAACTGTTCCTTTGTATTCAGACATGACTTGTTCTCACTGTATGTGCTGTCATTCATTTGAAGAATTTCACAACACAATCAAAATTAACAAACAAATCAGTTGTTTTCTATAGATCATATAGGTTGAATTTTGATGAAATACCCTATGTGGTCCCATTCTGGCCATTTGCATGCTCTGCAGAAGGACTGTGATATCGGGATTTGCACTTAGAGCACCTACAAGAGCTGATCTGGGCACATACTACTCAGAAAATGATCACTAAACACAAATAGAAAACTAACAGCAAATTTCAGGTATGGCAATGTTTACATAAGTAGAGTATATGTACCATACCTGAGGGATCCCCCTGGAAGCTAGAAATCACTATATAAGCACCGGCTACTAAAGTGATAGCCGCTATAGCTTCCAGGTTCCATGTCAAGCATCTGCTCTGCTGTTTACTGAGCACAGGAGGTTGTCTGCTTGGCATGGGCTCCATTCAGAGAACAACTTCATGTCTGGCGCTGAGAGTTACAGTTCTGGATGGAGTACACAGATCACAGCGAGTAACCTGCACTTCAGCTCCTCCAGTCAGTAAATGTCTCACATTCTTTTCAATGAATGCAATGCACCCTGTGATTGGAGGAGTGAACAATCTTCTCACAATCTCCCTGCCTCCAATCATAAGGAGCCTTGCATCCTTTAAAAAAGAAAAAAAAAAGAATGCAAAAGGTTTACTGAATGGAACAGCTGGAGTGTGAGTGACCCTTGGTGATCTGAGTACTACATCCAGAACTTGTGCTGCACCATACGAGGATGAGTGAAAGTCAGAGTTGTACATAATGCTGCACCCTAGATACAGGGGACACACTTCACTAGTGGGTATTTATTTTCACGGTGCACGTCTAAAAATATTTTGCTGATGTTCAGCCTTAATGTTCCCTGTAATGTATAGCACCAGGTGTGTAGTTTCTGCCTGTATCTGTAGTAATGTTGAATACGCTTTACATCATGGAAAGGATCCCGTCTCTTTGAAAGATTATTATATGATATTCAGCCATCGTATATGGAGTTTCCATTACAGTCACAAACATATGTGAGACATTACTGACCTGTTAATTGGAACCATCTCATGTTATTTTGTTAATACGGAATGCAGGGAAGAGAGTTTAATGAATGATTGCCTAATCTGCTGCGGTTATGGAAAATAAATAGAAAGCACAGTTAACTCTCCCTCTCCCTGATTTCATATTTCTCCGTTTCCAGCCCTCTCTACTTGGTCCAGCCACTTCAAAAGACACAAACACTTTTTTAAAAGTTTATAAAGAAATTCAGGTCCATCAATACACGTTATACACAAAGGGAAACATAAAATAAACCAGGAGCAAACATATACAGGACAGAATAAAGAATGCATTGTTTTTTTCCTGACATATATACGATTGTACAAACTTTATATAACTAAACAATGTTTCTGTATGAACAGAATTCTGGGCGATCTTGTTCAATAAAATCATTTTTCTGCAACCAATCGTCAGGTTTCACTTATTCTAATTATTATTCGGAGAAGGCAAGACTATGTGTGTGTGTGTGTTTAGGCCTCATTCACACAACTTATAAGGTCCAGACAGCTGGCCCAAACAAACTATTTCTATTACAGAATGATGAGACCGCTGTGTGTGCTCTAATATACTATAGTAGCATTAGCTACATGCAGTGCGCGGCGCTATGTTCCCACAGCAGTACCAGCAACTTCCTCTCTGCTGCTGCAGGCTGAGTGCTTCTCCACCATTCAGGAGAAGCCTCATCATTTTTATTATTAAATATAAGGCTTCCTCTGATTGGTCAAGGTGAAGAGGAAGGCAAACAACCTAATGATTTCAACCAATAGAAATCAATTACAGGATGTGGCTGCATGCGGGTATGTGCTGGTACTTGCTTAACCCTGAACAAGTATGGACAACAACCCTGGTGGCAGACTATCCAAGAGTACATCCATACTCACACGTGTGGTTACTCAACAGCCACATCCTCCTGTGTCTCCTGTCTGGGGAAAAATGCCAGATTTTGATGTCATACAGCCAGAGGCGGCTGGGTGCACAAGAACTTGCTGGTTCAAACACACATTACTGTTTTTCTGCTCACTGACAATTTTCTCCAATTAGCACCAGCCCTAGTATGTGGGTGGAACAACTAGTGAAGTGGAGCATCTTCAGGAGATTGGTTGTCCATCCCCTAGAAGAAGCTTGAATAAGTGATGGATAAGGTAAGTATTCATCTGCCTTACACCCCGCAGTTTAACCCCTTGGTGCCAGCACCTCCCGGGCCTTTAAGTTTTTCAGAAGCCGGGAGGCGGGGCTTTAGGGTCATGTGACTGCCATGATTCGCTGTCACATGATTGGGAAAGGGCCCGATCGCAAAAGGAGATCGGGACCTTTCTGTGAGTACTGGACATGTGTGCTGGGAGCGTGCGGTCTCAGCACATATGTTTTTCTTAATTGCACTCAAATTTGCGCCGCTCGGCGCCAAGGTCCAGGAAGGCCGTACATTTGCGTGTGGCCGGTGCCATGAGATTAAACAAGCAGTAGACTTTCACTATACAGCATAGAGGGGCACTCAAAACATATTTTTAAAGGCACTTATTGTAGGGCTGATATCTTATTATAGCCATAGCAAACTGTTGCACACACAGTTGGAATGTATTTATGTTTACCGTTTTACCTGCCAAAGCATTTGTGATTCTGTTTAGCCAGTGTTGTAATTCATGCACCCCTACCCTAATGTACAGCCATATGGGTTACAAACGTGTTTGTTGGTTCTGTGGTGCAGCTTCACTTCTTGTGGTGGAGTCACCTCTCAATCTGTTTATTAGACACTTTGGCTGCCCATACATTATACAATTTTCTTGAGAATTTAGCTTTAGATTTACCAAAATCCATATTATATGAGGTCAAACCTAAACAACACTTTCAAATGTATCCAATTAGGCAGGCCCTTGTACTACATTGTTGAAGGTAAATCTAATGGAAATAGGGCAGCAATTGGACAGAAAACTGTAAGAAAATTGTATAGTGTGTGGCCAGCCTTGGGCTGGCCATACATTATACAATTTTCTTTAGAATTTTGCTTTAGATTTAACAAAAACTATATAATAAGAGGTCAAACCTAAACAATTACTTCCAATTCTATCCAATCAGGCAGGCCCTTGCACTACATAGTTGAAGGTAAATCTAAAGCAAAGTGAATAGAAAATTGTAAGAAAACTGTGTAGTGTATGGCCAGCCTTAGAGCTAAACACGAGAGTAGCAAGGTGATCTTCCAAACGAAGAGAAAAGTGTATCACAAAAATTACAAATCGTTTGACAAATAATACCTTAATTAATCTTTGAATCTCTATATTTAATGAAATATTAAATATATGGTTAGCACTTCTGCCTAGCAGCACTAGGGTTGTCGGTTCAAGTCCCAATCACGGCACTACCTGCCTGGTGTTTGCATGTTCTCCCTGTACCTGCATGGGTTTCCTCCAGGTACTCTGGTTTCCTCCCACTCTCCAAAGACATGGCTCTTGTCTAAATTGGCCCTAGTATGTGTATGTATGTGAGTTGGGGACCTTAGATTGTAAGCTACTCGAGGGCAGGGACTAATGTGACTGTACAAAATATATGTAAAGAGCTGTGTATGTTGACAGCGCTATATAAAGTACCTGTAATAAATAAAAATGTGAAGTACTTACAAAAATAAACAAAAAAAAAAAAACAACCTGTAGCCAGGCTGTGGACAGCTAATTGATAATGCTTGTATACTGAGCATTACAGTATTTTTACCAAGGTCGCCCTGAGTCTGATTTCTGCAGTAACTTTAGTATACATCCATATGAAACTTTACAGCCCGGACAGCTTGGAATCAAGTCACTCTCAGGCTCCCCTGCTAACCTTTATCATTCCCCCTCCCATCTATGATGCAGCAGGCTTTCAATCTCAGCATCCTTTTAATCTCTTGTCATTTCTAGGACAGTTTATTATGGAATCCAACATGACAGCACCCTTGGTGACAAATAAATGTAAACAAAGAAATGTTTACACAGTCCTGGACATGGGATGACAGTTCTCAGAGTAGAGGGAAAGAAAAGGCAGAGGTAATAGGTTGCAGAGTTGTTTGTTATGCTTGGATATATTAAAAGAGCAAATTTGTTCTAAAAGTTTACTTATTCTTTCACAATTAAATTATCAGTTATTCGGGAAGGAGATCTTCTCCTAATTCTTCATCAGCAAACTCTTCCTCCTCAACTCTTCTTTTTGCTGCTGTTTTCGGTCTCTCCACTTGTGGCCCCAGAGGGTCTGTGTATGAAGCATCTAAAAATGTGCAGGGAGTTATTAGAATGGTATAAACTGACACATGGCTGACAATTCAGCTCTGATACAAGAAAGTAACAGCACACAAAAAGTAAGATTCTTACAACAACTTGAAGAAAAGGGGAATTCATGAAGACTGGAGCAGGCGTGCATGCAAACCAATCAGCTTTCAGCTTTAATTTTCAAAGCTTAACTGAACAAGATGAAGCTAGAAGCCAATTGGTTACTATGCACAGCTGCTCCAAATCTAGTATTTATACATTTTACTCAACCGCACATGCATATTTACACATACTGGATTCGCCATTTAACCTGCCAGCATTTCTTTGGACTGTGGGAGGGCATACAATCTCCATGCATCCTCTTTAAGTATATAAGGAAACATTTGCAAAAATGTTTTAACTTTTTTAACTCAAGGAAATCTGAAAGGTTACATATATTTACATTTCACCCTGCAGGAGGAGCACCTTGCTTATCATAGACTAGATTTGCCTATCCCTAAAGCGTATCAAAACCCAAAAACAAAAATGAAATATATTGCACCTCAGACTGGTTGGCTGCATTCATTTTCTTTTTTCCCCGATGCTTTTTTCCCTTTATATTCACCTGGTGATCCTGCCAGGGACACACTTCCTGTCCTAGGATGACAACTCTCACCCACTGTACTTATCTATGGTAGAGCAGCAGCATTGTAGGACTGTAGGATGACAGAACACTGCCCACCCTTTTCTTCTGCATAACATAGAGGGGAGGGGGTCTGAAGTTCTCAGAAATAGATGGGAAGAATGTTACTTAAAAGAGGGCAGTGCAGAGAGCACAGAAAGTAACCAACTCATAAGATTTCTGGCAGGATCAAAACTTTTTTTTTGCAATCATCAGCCATGGTATATCTAACAGACAAAAAGGAAAAAAATAAGAGATCCATTGCTATATGCAGTTAGGTCCATACAGTATATATTTGGACACCAGCACAATTTTCATATTTTTGGCTCTGTATGCCGCCAGGATAAACTAAAACGAAACAATCCAAATGAATTTGAAGTGCAGACTTTCAGCTTTAATTCAAGGGGTTGAACATAACATCAAGTACAAATTTTAGGAACTGCAATCATTGCTCTCGTAAAGTCTTCTCTTGATTGTAGACTTTGACAATGATACGCCCACCTCCTGGAGAGTGTTCTTCACTTGTCTGGATGTTGTGAATGGGTTTTCTTTACCATAGAGAGGATCCTGCGATCATCCACCACTGTTGTCTTCCGTGAACGTCCATGTCTATTTATGTTGCTGAGATCACCGATGCGTTCTTCTTTCCTCAGGATGTACCAAACTGTTGATTTGGCCCCTCCTAATGTTGCTGCTATCTCTCTGATGGATTTGTTTAGTTTTTGAAGCCTTACAATGCATGGACAGCTCCACTGAACGCATGATGTAGGTTCACAGCAATAGATTCCAAATGCAAATACCACACTTAGAATCAACTCCAGACCTTTTACCTGCTTCATTGATGAAGAAATAACAATGGAGTAGCCCACACCTGGCCATGAAAAAGCTTTTGATTTAGTCGTCCAATTACTTTTGGTTCCTTGAGAAAGGGGGGGTGGCTACTCTTAAGAGCTGTAATTCCTAAACCCTTCCGCCAATTTGGATGTACATACCCTCAAACTAAACCTGAGAGTGTGCACTTTCAGTCAATATCCATTATATATAACTATAGCTTGAATATGTTTTGGTACATACCTAAAAAAACTAAAATTGTGCCTGTGTCCAAAATATATATGGACCTAATTGTACGTATATATCAAAAAATCTAAACTTTTGAACAATTTTTAATTAATTAGAGAATAATTAAAATCTATTTTAAAGCTAAACTCCAGGAAAAAAATTATTTTTGGATATTTGCATTGTATCAATAAATCACCTCTAATGAGTTGTGTGCCATGTGTTGATGGAGTGCTGAGTTACATATAATGTTAGTTTCTGTGAGTCCCAACAGCCAGTGCATACAATTGAGGCTCTTATACAGTGAAGGTTATGTGGGTTGTTCACACTACATCTCCCACCTCGATTCATAAAGATCTTGTATCCTTTTCACTGAATGCAAGGCATTCTGTGATTGAAGGAGGGGAGATTGGAGGAGAAAAGGGGAACGGCAGACAAACATCATAATCAATTTGTTCAGTCAAAAGGATACAAGACATTTTATCAAAGGAGGAAGTTTAGTGTGAGTGACCCACATAGCCTTCATTGTATGAGCCATAATTGTAAGTCAAGGTGCTGGAAGTTTGGTGCATAGTGCACTGTCGGGACTGAATCAAACTAACAGTTTTAAGTAATGCAGCAGCCATCCACACATGGGACACACCTCATTATAGGCGATTTATTGGTACATAACAAAATAGCAAAAAAGTTATTTTTATATGAGTTCTACTTTAAAGATCAGGGCTTTGGCCTAAAACTTAAAGGAACTGCCACAACTAACCCTGGGGTGGGTGCATAGTGAAAGAATGGTAGTGAGGTCAGAATGGCAGCTAATACAAAAGCCCCTCCTCTCCTGCCATACTTTTATTTAGATAGAAAATATATAGATAACCAGTGATACTCATTTGCCAATTACCTAGGTCTTTATTGGAGCTTGCTTCATAGGGGTCATTCACTCCTGGCAGAGTTTTCAATTTAGCACTGAGACGGTCTCCTTTTGAGCTGGTGCCACTGCTCTGCCCACTGTCTGAAATGATATCAAATACAGATTTTTATTAGAATTATCATCATCTTCTCAGTGTAAAACTTCAAAAGGAGCTATAAATGGGGGTTCAACTGTTAAAGTGTAAATAAACCCTCACCTTGTGAAACAACACATTCAGTACAAAATAGAAATGAAAGGCAACACATTTGTCTATAGATTAAAAAAAAAAACAGTATAAACACTCTTTCCCTCTTTTTTATAAGTGATCACATAGCCTCTGTTCTCAGCTGCATACGAGATGGGAGAAGAGAAACAGCAGCACACTGATCTTCAGTGAAAGCCTTTCACAGTGAAAGGCTGTGCGGGGGGTGGCTGTAAGGACAAGTCTGATCATTGGAGAGAAGGCCAAGTTCCCAACACTGCTAGAAAACTGACCACACTGCGCTCTCATACTTGGTGTGGTCAGTTTTTAATAGGAAAGCAAAGGGACTGGCTGGAGCACTAGGGATTTCACACAAACCAAGTAATACAAAAAGAACAGGATACTTTTTCATACTTGTACATGGTACATAGACACATATCAGGAATATGAAATGTTGGGTTTACATACTCATTAAAGTGACACTAAAGCTTCGTTGATTTTTTTAAAAATAACAAACATGGTTATACTTACCTGCTCTGTGCAGTGATTTTGCACAAAGCAGCCTCAATCCTCTTCTTTTCAGGTCCTGGCTCCTTCCCTCAAGTACTGCCCCCAGGGAAAGCACTGCAGCCTGCTCGTCCTTGAGCTGCGTCCATAAGAAACAGAGCCACCACTCTGCCCCACCCTGCCCTCTTACTCTCTCCTCATTGGCTCACTGGCTGTGATTGACAGCAGCGTTAATAGGCTCACGCTGCCATCTCAGCCAATGAGGAGGAAGAGTCCCCAAACAGCAGAGGCTGTCAAGAATGTCGCTAGATTAGAGGGGGCTCAGGTAAGGATTGGGGGGGCTGCATTTAGAATGTTTTTTACCTTCAAGCATAGAATACATGAAGGTAAAAAACCTTGAGCCTTTAGAGCCACTTTAAGCCCCGATTCAAATATATGCAAATTGAATGCATTTTGAACATATCCGATACGCATGACAACCAAAATCGTTTTCTATGGAGCCGGTTCACATATGTGCGGGCCGGCTGCAGTGCAGTTTTAAAAAGAGTTCGGTCTGTTTTCCAATGTCATACATTGTACCAAATTCGAGATGGAATCGCATCTGAACCGCTGAATGAATTTGCACCGGACTCTTTTACAAATTGCACTGCAAATCGGCCCAGCACATATGTGAACCCAGGCATAGATTATGTATCATTATAAAATATAACTGGACCAAAAATGTTCATATAGAAAAGAAATGAAACACCACAATGGCTTCCTGTTCTGTGGTTTCCTATCACATAGAGGCATTACTTTTGTCTTGATAGAACCTTTCATGAAAGAAATCCAATCTGTTACTGAACATGCTAGTTCCCGGCTGCTGGTTGAATAACTGGCTCTAAAACTTTCTGAATCAATGACCTGCAATAAGTATGCAGATAAAAAAAAAAAACACAATAAAGTAAATTCCATCCAAAACTGTATCTTCATTTACACTTTAAAGCGGAGTTCCACTCACTCTGTAAAAAAATAAAACTCAGCAGCTAAAAAAACTGTAGCTGCTGACTTTTAAAAAACAGCCACTCACCTATCCCTCGATCCTGCAGTGTCCTCCCCACAGCCTGTTTCACCCGCCGTCCAGTGTTCCAGGCGCCGGCATCTTCAGTGTGGGCACCCGATTGTGACAGCTTGCGGCTTCACAGCCGGGTGCCCACTGCACACGTGCGAGTAGCGCTGCGCTTCCTGAATGGCCCCATAGTCTTCTGGGACCTGTCACATCTCCCACAAGACTTCGGGGAGGGAGGGTAGGAGGACAACTTCCGTTTCCGATCGCCTAGGCGATCGCAGCGGAAGTGGAGGCGGGTACCTGTCAATTTCAGGTACCTGCTCTCCCCAGCTCCCCAAAGGAGCCAATCCTTAATGGGGAGCGGGGACCAATCTTTAAAGCGGAACTTCCCCTTTTGGGTGGAACTCCACTTAATGCATGTCAAGGGGCAAATTATCTGAATCTGTAAATGTGGATCAAACTGATGGTGGAACTGACCCTTCAATCTCATAGCATGCATCCTTATGCTCAATATAGTGCTGAGCAAAACATCAACGGTTTTCCTACACACCAACCCTGGTTTAAGAAAATGCACATTTTGCAACGGTGGTGAGAGAGATATTCAAAAGCAAGGTGACTTGTAGTCTAGTAATAGAATGATTTCCCATAAAAGAAGATGTAAAGAACATTTAAAATGTTTTAAAGTAATTGACTTTAAAGGGTATGTAAAAGGCAAACAGAAAGTGAGGGGAAATCCTAATTCTAATGTCACCAGAACAAGAGGCAAGGGTAAATCTTTCAATGCGAACTTCTGTTTTGGTGACAACTGTCTAAGAGTGGAATACCCCTTAGTGTAGAGAGATTTCCTCTCACTTCCTGTTTTATCCATAGGACAGGAAAAGAGGGGACATATCCTAATAATACAGACAGCAAACACTAAACTGTCAGGGTCTAACCCTTCTCTGCTATATCCACAAAATAAATAAAAACCTTTTTATTTTACATACACTTTACATTTTAAAACTTTTTTTCTAACAGAGCAAACTTGCATATAGTAATTCTTTATAGAAGAATGAGTACATTTACAAAGTAAATTACTGTGTAACAATTTATGGTCTTGTTCACATGTGCCGTAAAAACAGGCAGTTTGACCACGCCACGAAAAGTGATCATACACATACCACAGATGCAATGTTTTGTAACGCAGCCAAGGCAAGTTTAAAGTGGTTGTAAATTTCAGGATCAAAACATGAACAAAGCACATCCCTCTACAGTGTGTACTTCTCTTTAATAAGAGCACTAAGTGTAATTTCTGTCTGCTGCTTCAATTCTCTGCCATCTGCATGAGTCACTTCTGACAAGTTTTCCTGACACCAAAAGAAAAATGGTGACAGGGGAGGGACTTCCAACAGATTGACAGCCTCAGTACTCTTCCTGAAAGCTGTGTGGAGGGGGGTTGTGTACCTTCCCTCCAATCAGCTCACAGAGCTCTCCACACTGACATAACTTCAGCTCCCCCCCCCTGCTTTTTAGAGCTGAGAGATCCTGTGCAAATTCTACACTTTGAATGGATGTAGGGGGAAAATGGTTGCAGATAGACAGGTACAATGTATGTAGGATGATTTATTTCATCTCTGTGTATCACTTGAGGCTAGTCACTTCACTGGGTATACAGTTGTGTTCAAAATAATAGCAGTGTGTTGAAAAAAGTGAATAAAGCTCAAAATCCTTCTAATAGCTTTTATTTCCATACACACAAATGCATTGGGAACACTACACATTCTATTCCAAATCAAAACATGAAGAATAATATATCTAATTTTGTGTTGTTCCTCTAAAAAAATTGAAGAAAAGTGAATATTAGACTGTTCACAAAAATAGCAGTGTTTGTATTCTTCTTTACAAACTCAAACATTCACTATATAAACTGAAAAATGTTTGAAGAATTTGCTTTCCTTTGAATCACTTAATTAATATTTCGTTGTATAAGCACTGTTTCTGAGAACTGCTGTACATCTGTGTTGCATGGAGTCAACCAACTTCTGGCACCTGTGAACAGGTATTCCAGCCCAGGATGATTGCACTACATTCCACAGTTCTTCTCTATTTCTTGGTTTTGCCTCAGAAACTGCATTTTTGATGTCACCACACAAGTTTTCTATTGGATTAAGATCCGGGGATTGGGCTGGCCACTCCATAACGTCAATCTTGTTGGTCTGGAACCAAGATGTTGCACGTTTACTGGTGTGTTTGGGGTCGTTGTCTTGTTGGAACAACCATTCAAGGGCATTTCCTCTTCAGCATAAGGCAGCATGACCTCTTCAAGTATTCTGATGTATTCAAACTGATCCATGATCCCTGGTATGCGATAAATAGGCCCAACACCGTAGTATGAGAAACATCCCCATATCATGATGCTTGCACAGCCATGCTTCACTGTCTTCACAGTGTACTGTGGCTTGAATTCAGTGTTTGGGGATCGTCTGACAAACTGTCTCCGGCCACTAGACCCAAAAAGAACAATCTTACTTTCATCAGTCCACAAAATGTTGTGCCATTTCTCTTTAGGCCAGTCAATGTGCTCTTTGGCAAATTGTAACCTCTTCAGGACATTTTTTTCAACAGTGGGACTCTGCGGGGGCTTCTTGCAGATAGCTTGGCTTAACATAGGCGTCTTCTAATTGTAACAGTACTCACAGGTAACTTTACACCTTCTTTGATCTTCCTGGAGCTGATTGTTGGCTGAGTCCTTGCCATATTGGCTATTCTTCTATCCATTCGAATGGTAGTTTTTCGCTTTCCGGTTTTGGTTGCCATTTTAAAGCATTTGCGATTATTTTAGCTGAACAGCCTATCATTTTCTGCACTTTTTTATATGTTTTCCCCTCTCCAATCAACTTTTTAATCAAGGTACGCTGTTCTTCTGAACAATGTCTGGAACGACCCATTTTCCTCAGAATTTCAGAGAGAAATGCACTGTAACCAGCATGTACAACATTTTCTGCCTTCCTTCCTTAAATAAGGGCAATAATTGCCACCTGTTTTTCAAAGAATGAATGACCTCACTAATAGAACTCCACACTGCTATTATTTTGAACATGCCCTTTTCAATTAGTGATTCAATTACACAGAATCAGCAGCATGCATGTCATGACTGTTGGGTCTGTTGGATTTCTATTACTCTACTACACCTGCTAGTAAATTATTTGCCATGTAGAAATATCATTTCTACCAAAAACAGTGATTGATCAGGTTAGTGATGTCTGACTGCTATTATTTTGAACACAACTGTATGTAAAGGTTTACAACCAAAATAACTTAGCTTGCCAAGTTCGACAGGTGGCATGGCCTGTCAAACTCGCTAGT